CGGGCACCTCGCGGAACTGCAGCCGCACCTCGGCCTTGCGCTCGTTCAGGGCCTTCCCGCAGCGCAGCACGAACGGGACACCTGCGGGGGTGGCACTGTCACCATTGTCACCATTGTCACCATTGGCACCATTGGCACCATTGTCACCATTGGTATCGCTGGCATCGTTGGCATTGTCATTGTTTTCATTGACATCATTAACAACCATTGATATCATTGTCATCATCGTCATTGTCATCATCAGCGTCAACACTGTCATTGTCATCATTGTCATTGTCACCGTTGTCAGCATTGTCACCGTTGTCACCTTTGGTATTGTTGTCACCGTTGATATCGTTGTCATTGTTTTCATTGTCATCGTTAACAACCATTGATATCATCATCATCATCATCGTCATTGTCAACATCGTTGTCTCCATTGTCATTGTCATCATTGTCACCGTTGTCATTGTCTCCATTGTCACCATTGCCATTGTCATCGTTGTCATCATTGCCATTGTCATTGCTTTCATTGTCATCGTTAACATCCATCAATATCAACATCGTCATCATCAGCGTCAACATCGTCATCGTCATCATCATTGACATTGTCATCATTGTCATTGTCACCATTGTTACCCTTGTCACCATTGGTATCGTTGGCATGGTCATTGTTTTCTTTGTCATCGTTAACATCCATCAACATCAACATCGTTGTCATTGTCATCATCATTGTCAACGTTGACATGGTCATCATCATTGTCAACATCATTGTCACCATTGACACTGTCATCGTCATTGTCATTGTCACCATTGTCACCCTTGGTATCGTTGGTATCGTTGGCATCATTGTCATTGTTTTCTTTGTCATCGTTAACATCCATTGATATCATTATCGTCATCGTCATCATCATCATCATCGTCATTGTCAACATCGTCATCGTCATCATCATTGTCATCAATGTCATTGTCATTATCACCATTGTCACCATTGGTATCGTTGTCGTCATTGGCATTGTCATTGCGTTCATTGTCATCATTAACAACCATTGATATCATCGTCGTCATCATCATCGTCATTGTCAACATTGTCATTGTCATCATTGTCATTTGTCACCACTGATATAATCATAGTCATTGACACCATTGCCATTGTCACCATTGTCATCATTGTCACCATTGTCATCATCGGCATCATCATCATTGTCGTCATCATCATCTTTGTCATTGTCAACATTGTCATTGTCATCATTGTCATCATCATCATCGTCAACATCATTGTCACCGTTGTCATCATCATCATTGTCATTGTCACCGTTGTCACCATGGGTATCGTTGGCATTGTCATTGTTTTCATTGTCATCGTTAACATCCATCGATATCAACATCGTCATCATCGTCATTGTCAACATTGTCATTGGCATCATCATTGTCAACACCATTGTCACCATTGTCATCATCATCATTGTCATTGTCACCATTTGTCACCATTGGTATTGTTTGTATCATTGTCTTCATTGTCATTGTTTTCATTGTCATCGTTAACATCCATCAATATCATCGTCATCATCATTATTGTCATTGTCAACATTGTCATGGTCATCATCATTGTCAACATCATCATTGTCATTGTCACCATTGTCATTGACACCATTGTCACCGTTGGCATTGTCATCGTTGTCATCATTGGCGTTGCTATTGCTTTCATTGTCATCGTTAACATCCATTGATATCATCATCATCACCATCGTCATTGTCACCATTGTCATTGGCATCATCATCGCCATTGTCACCATTGGTATCATTGTCTTCATTGTCATTGTCATCGTCATTGTCATTGTCAATATCATTGTCACCATTGGCATTATCATTGTTAACATCCATTGATATCATCATTGTCATCATCATCAGCAGCATTGTCATTGGCATCATCATTGCCATTGTCATCATTGTCATTTGTCACAATTGATATCATTGTGATCATTGTCACCATTGTCATTGTCACCATCGTCACTGTCACCATTGCCATCACAGGCATTATCATCATTAACATCCATTGATATCATCATCGTTGTCATTATTATCATTGTCAATGTCAACATCACCATTGTCACTGTCACCATTGTCACTGTCGCCACTGTCACTGTCACCATTGTGACTGTCACTGTCAATATCATTATCATTGTCCATCAATATCACTGCCACCATTGTCATTGTCATCACTGTCATTGTCACCAACATCCATCGATATCATCACCACCACTGTCACTGTCACTGCCATCCATACCATCACCATTGTCACTGTCACTGCCACCAACGTCCATCGATATCACCGCCACCACTGTCACTGTTCCCATCCCCATTGTCACTGTCACTGCCACCATCATCCATCGATGTCACCATTGTCACTGTCACCAACATCCATCCATACCACTGCCACCATTGTCCCCATTGTCCCCTCACCGTCCCATCTCTCGTTGTCCACGCGCAGCACGGCGGCGGCGAAGGTGGGCGTGGTGGAGCCGGGGGGCACCGTGGGGTCGTCCAGGTAGCCCTTCTGGGCCTCGGGGGGGCCCTCGGGGTTGCCCACGTACTGACCCAGAACCACGTCACACAGCTGGACGGGCTGGATGCACTTCAGAACCTTCACCTGGGGACAATGGGGACATCAGAGTGACATTGGGTGACATCAGAGTGACATTGGGTGGCACCACGTACTGACCCAGAACCACGTCCTGGAGCTGGACGGGCTGGATGCACTTGAGAACCTTCACCTGGGGACATTGGGGACATCAGAGTGACATTGGGGTGACATTGGGGTGACATTGGGTGGCACCACGTACTGACCCAGAACCACGTCTGACAGCTGGACAGGCTGGATGCACTTCAGAACCTTCACCTGGGGACATTGGGGACATTGGGGACATTGGGGACATTGGGGACATGGGTGACATCAGAGTGACACCACGTCCTGCAGCTGGACCGGGCGGATGCACTTCAGAACCTTCACCTGGGGACATTGGGGACATTGGGGACATTGGGTGACATTGGGATGACACCGCGTCAGAGAGCTGCACCGGGCAGATGCACTTCAGAACCTTCACCTGGGGACATTGGGGACACTGGGGACATTGGGGACATCAGAGTGACACCGGGCGGATGCACTTCAGAACCTTCACCTGGGGACAATGGGGACATTGGGGACATTGGGGACATCAGAGTGACACCAGAGTGACACCGGGCGGATGCACTTCAGCACCTTCACCTGGGGACAATGGGGACATTGGGGACATCAGAGTGACATTGGGGTGGCACCACATCATTCAGCTGTACCGGGCAGATGCACTTGAGCACCTTCACCTGGGGACAATGGGGACACGGGGGGTGACATCAGAGTGGCACCAGAGTGACACTGGGCGGATGCACTTGAGCACCTTCACCTGGGGACAGTGGGGACATTGGGGACATTGGGGACATCAGAGTGACACCGGCCGGATGCACTTGAGCACTTTCACCTGGGCACAATGGGGACACGAGGGTGACATTGGGGACATTGGGGACATGGGGTGACACCGGCCGGATGCACTTGAGCACCTTCACCTGGGGACAATGGGGACACGAGGGTGACATCAGGGTGACACTGGGGTGACACTGGGGGTGGGATGGGGTTGGGGACATGGGAATGGGGCCACCAGTGAGAATGGGGTGATGGGACAGGGCTGGGGACACATTCAGTGAGGATGTGACCATGAGAGATGTGATTTTGGGGGGCCACCATCAAGACGGTGGCAATGTCACCTGACTGGGGACGTGGCTTGAGGCCACCATCAAGAATGAGGTGACAGGATCTGATTGGGGACACGGCCAATGAGGATGTGACCACGGGGGACGTGATTTTGGGTGGCCACCACCAAGAATGAGGTGGCAGAACCTGATGGGGACGTGATTTTGGGTGGCCACCACCAAGACGGTGGCAATGTCACCTGATTGGGGACGTCATTTTGGGGGCCACCATTGAGAATGAGGTGACAGGACACAACTGGGGACATCATTTTGGGGGCCACCATGGAGAAGATGATGATGGGACAGGGTTGGGGACGTCATTTTGGGGGTCACCACCAAGACAGTGGCAATGTCACCTGACTGGGGACACGATTTTGGGTGGCCACCACTGAGACGGTGGCAATGTCACCTGATTGGGGACACGATTTTGGGTGGCCACCACCAAGACAGTGGCAATGTCACCTGACTGGGGATGTCATTTTGGGGGCCACCATCAAGACGGTGGCAATGTCACCTGATTGGTGACGTGATTTTGGGTGGCCACCATCAAGACAGTGGCAATGTCACCTGATTGGGGACATGATTTTGGGTGGCCACCACCAAGACAGTGACAATGTCACCTGATTGGGGACACGATTTTGGGGGCCACCATTGAGACAGTGGCAATGTCACCTGACTGGGGACACGATTTTGGGGGCCACCATCAAGACGGTGGCAATGTCACCTGATTGGGGACACGATTTTGGGGGCCACCATTGAGACGGTGGCAATGTCACCTGATTGGGGACACGATTTTGGGTGGCCACCACTGAGACCACGACAATGGGACACCACCGTGGACGAGCAACGTCCCCACGTGTTGGGGACACACCCAAACCACGCCCCTGCGAGGTGTCCCCCTGGTGTCCCCAATGTCCCCTCAGTGTCCCCGGTGTCCCCTCAGTGTCCCCAGTGTCCCCTCAGTGTCCCCAATGTCCCCACCTTCTCGTCGCGCACGTCGTCGGGGTGGGTGGACGCCGGCTTCTCCATGGCCACCAGACACAGC